AAAAAAAAAAAAAAAAAGGATCAAATGGTAATTCTTACACTGAAAGGGTAACTGAAATGAAATGTGACCAGAGGGGCACAATAGTAGATTTGAACTAGGATCAGCAGACTTAATGATGGAACGAAGAGATTATGCAGTCTGAAGAACGGAGAAAACAGAATGAAGAAAAATGAATAGAGTCCCAGAGAAATGCGAGACACCACTAAACACACCAACATATACCTAATGGGAACAGCAGGAGAGGAGGGAAAACAGCAGAAAAAATATTAAATGAAACAGTGACTGAAAACTTCCCAGATTTGTTGAAAAACATTAACCTACACATCCAAGAAGCTCAACAAATTGCAAGTAGAATAAATGCAAAGAGAACCACATGCAGATACATCACAGTAAAAACGCTGAAAGACAAAAAAATTCCTGAAAACAGCTAGAGAAAAATGATTGGTCACATACAAGGGAATCTCAAGATGATAAAGAGCTGGCTTCTCATCAGAACAATGGAGGGCAGAAGGCAGAGGATGGCATATTCAAAGTGCCAAAAGAAATCACCATTAGAAAGCTCATTTTTCAATAATAATAACGGAAGCCAAAAATCTCCTGAAAGAAAATTGCTCTAAAATTGCATAACCACTGAAAATGTTTCAAGAGGATAAAATATATTTCAGATAAAGATACCAACGAAGAAAATAGGAATTTCAGCTACATAGCTTTACAAAGGTACCAGTTAGAGTAAAGGATAGAAATAAGAATTTTTTAAAAATTAGTTATAATTTTTAATTGCTAATAATCATGCTGTCTGGTACATTACTGATTTACTCCTGAATGATACTTAAGGGAAGTCCTTATCTTAGAGAGTTTAGGCGTACTTGTCAGAGAACAAACTGAAATGGTCAACAATCTGTTTCCATGTGCCTTTTAAAAATTCCAATTTCATCACACTTTGAAATAGTAATGATATCTTCATAATATAAATATGTATTTATATACTTTTATATATACTATGTGTAAACTTTAATTTATACACATGATATAAAATTTTAATTTTACAGCAACGCTTAGAGAAAAATGAGGTTCAGAAAAGCCAGATATTTAAGATAAAAGATTTCAGTAGTAGAAGCAGGATTCAAACCTAGGTAGTCTTTTAAGACTCCAAAGCCTCTACTCTCTTAGCTCTGCTATGCTACCTTGATCTATAGATACCTGGGAAACAGGTAAGGCCATTATTTCACAGGCACAATCAACATACTCTCAACAAAGCAGTCAGTGATCCTACTAAGAGTTAAATCGTATCTTCTCTCCTCTGCTGAAAACCTCCAACGAAAACCACTCAGAATAAAAAACCAAAAAAAAAAAAAACCAGTCTGTCATGGTGGCTTATGCCCGTAATCCCGGCACTTTGGGAAGCTGAGGCAAGCACATTGCTTGAGTCCAGGAATTCAGGACCAGCCTGGGCAACATGCTGAAACCCTGTCTCTACAAAAAATACAAAAAAACAAAAAGGCCTTACAAATGGTGTGAGGGCGTAGGTGATCTGGCCCCATCATATTTCTGCCCTCTCCCTCACAAGGCTCCAGCTTCAGCCTCTGTGCTTTCTTCACACATGCCAGGCAGGTTCCCACCTCAGGGCCTTTGCACTTCCTAATTCTGCATGCACCACTCTCCAGAGAGCTGAACAGTTCACTGTCACTACCTTCAGATGCTTACTCAAAGATCACCATTCCAGTGACAGCTTCCCTGAACAGTATTTCTAAAAGTACAATATCCCAACTCCCAAGACCCCCTAGAACATTCTCTATATCCCTTTCCTGCAGAATTTGTCTCCTGACCACTTTTCACCATCTGCTCTACCATATATAGTATTTTACTTTATATAGTATTTCACTGGTATAATAAAGACTTTAAATTTCTCAGTATCTCCGCATCACCCAGTGGGGTGTTAAATACTTGCTGGGGTATTAAGAAAAAGAAAGAGGCTGGGCGTGGTGGCTCACGCCTGTAATCCTAACACTTTGAGAGGCCGAGGCGGGCAGATCACGAGATCAGGAGATCGAGACCATCCTGACTAACACGGTGAAACCCCATCTCTACTAAAAATATAAAAAATTAGCCAGGCGTGGTGGCGGGCACCTGTAGTCCCAGCTACTCGGGAGGCTGAGGCAGAATGGCATGAACCTGGGAGGCAGAGCTTGCAGTGAGCCGAGGTCATGCCGCTGCGCTCCAGCCTGGGCGACAGAGCAAGGCTTAAAA